CCTGCGTGACGGGAGATGTCTCCCGGACCAAATGGTGACCAAATGGACACTGCTAACGATGATGATGATGAAGATTAAGCCACCCAAGAGGTGGCACGGGCATGAATAGCCCGTAAGTGGTGGCCCTTTTGAGCCATTACCAGTATCAAGAGCTGATACTGGAGATCTGTGGAGGCGCGACTGCACCCTGCGTGACGGGAGATGTCTCCCGGACCAAGTGGTGACCAGACGGTCCTGTGAAGGATGACGACACCGTCCAAGTGCTTACTGTGAAGGATGACGACACCGTCCAAGTGCTTACTGTGTAAGACGACACGGTCCAAGTGTTTACTGTGAAGAATGATGACACGGTCCAAGTGCTTACTGTGAAGGATAACGACACGGTCCAAGTGTTTACTGTGAAGAATGATGACACGTTCCAAGTGCTTACTGTGAAGGATGACGACACGTTCCAAGTGCTTACTGTGAAGGATAACGACACCGTCCAAGAGCTTACTGTGAAGGATAACGACACCGTCCAAGAGCTTACTGTGAAGGATAACGACACCGTCCAAGAGCTTACTGTGAAGGATAACGACACCGTCCAAGAGCTTACTGTGAAGGATAACGACACCGTCCAAGAGCTTACTGTGAAGGATAACGACACGTTCCAAGTGCTTACTGTGAAGGATAACGACACCGTCCAAGAGCTTACTGTGAAGGATAACGACACCGTCCAAGAGCTTACTGTGAAGGATAACGACACCGTCCAAGAGCTTACTGTGAAGGATAACGACACGATCCAAATGCTTACTCTGTAAAACAACATTGTAAATGCGTGCGTTTATTTACGTTTTTGTAATAAATTTAACGATGCCTGATTTGCCGTGGAATGTGATCTGACAGCCAATTTAAATCCGGCTTCCTATTTCCTGGTGGCTGGTTACTGGTGAGTGGAGAGGTACGGTGGATAGATTGTGTTACGAGGATTTGTGTTTTGATAATATTTACATTTAAACTGTCAACCCACACTTCCGTGGAAATCAATATTTCGTTCACCTGGACCTCTGGGAGGCTCGAACCGCTGACCCTCGTGGTTTTGGAATATTTCCTTGTTAAGACTACTCATAGCCCAGTCGATAGAGCTTTGGCCCCTCACATGGGTGGGGTTTCCAGTTCGGGTCTCCCAGAGCCCAGGTGAGGGAAATATAGACATTGTTGTAAACGTGGATATGCTGCTAATACATACACATACATACACACACACACACACACACACACACACACACACACACACACACACACACACACACAGAGGTTGGTGGATAGGGGCCTCGTAGCCTGGTGGATAGCGCGCAGGACTCGTAATTCTGTGGCGCGGGTTCGATTCCCGCACGAGGCAGAAACAAATGGGCAAAGTTTCTTTCACCCTAAGTGCCCCTGTTACCTAGCAGTAAATAGGTACCTGGGAGTTAGTCAGCTGTCACGGGCTGCTTCCTGGGGTGTGTGTGTGTGTGGGGTGGGAAAAAAAAATAGTAAACAGTTGACAGTTGAGAGGCGGGCCGAAAGAGCAAAGCTCAACCCCCGCAAAAACACAACTAGTAAACACACTTTTTCAGTGTCAGAGTAGTTAATGGATTGAATGCATTAGGCAGTGATGTGATGGAGGCTGACTCCATACACAGTTTCAAATGTAGATATGACAGAGCCCAGTAGGCTCAGGAATCTGTACACCAGTTGATTGACAGTTGAGAGGCGGGACCAAAGAGCCAAAGCTCAACCCCCGCAAGCACAAATAGGTAAGTACAAATAAGTGAGTAGACACACAAGCAAGCACGCACGCACGCGCGCGAGCCAAAACATGATGGACCTTGGCAGCTGACCAGGACCTAGATTCACGAAGCTCCATGTATTTCTTCGTAAGTGTGTGTGCTACTAAGGTTCCTAAGTACCGGCTAAGAATGCACCAAAGTACGATTCAGAAAAGTATACTTACGAAGATTTTTGAGTAGTTCACTTAGGTCTCGCTAGATGTCACTAGGATTTTAGTCTGGCCAATCAGAGAGAAGGTAACATTTTTCATTTTACAGCTGTAGCCAATCACGACGCTGGCATATCGGAGCTTATCCGTGCTGCATTTGCCACTTATTTACGTCGAATGTTCTTATAAAATTAGTATGTTTCGAAGTAAAACTGTTTTTTTCAACTTGTACAGTCAGCACCGACATTGTAGTAAGCAAATATGTTACATTTTTTGTCTACGTACGTAATTCTAAGAGATAGTGTATAGCCTTCCTTGTCGCTTCCAAGAGTTGAGAAGCGATCCCTGGAAACACAAACCGAACTGTCTTTATTTTCCGCTTGTTACAACTTGTAATAAAGTTGTTACATCTTGGCTTAACGTGTTTATGACGTATTAGAACGTTGTTACAACTTGCTATATTGGTTGTTATAACTGGTTAGGTGTTAAAACTTGTTCGAACGTTGTACCAACGTCGTAGATTCGTTGTGTGTTTGGCGGGATGGTGTTTATTTATGTATTTATTTACCTAAATTTGCCCAAGGGCCACTAACTGTCTAGTGGCCTCGACGAGGACATAAGGCCGGGGGCTTGTTAAGTTCCGCCAATTGTTCTAATGATATTTTCTAGCTGGATATTGGGATTTACGGCTGCAGCGGGTAGGCGGTTCCATGGGTTTATAACCTCTAGGTGAAAAAACATCTGTTTTCAGTCTTACTTGAGAGGACATAATTTCCAACACTATATCTGTGATTGTCCTGTTATCAGCGACTTCAGACCAAATGGTATGTGGTACTTTGAGCTCTGTAATTACTTCATACACTCAGGAATATTGGAAGATATTATTGTGCTGTACCCAGATTTTGATAGTGGGGGGCTAATAGATCAGCCTTATATTTCTTATTCTCTCCTGATTCCATGTATGACTTACCGTCCTGTGAGGTGGGGATGTTGGATGAGCTTGTAGCTAGTTTATGATCTACACTGTAATCTTTCATATAGAATAGGGAAGCAGCACATGGCTGTGTATACCTAAGCTTGTTAATAAAAACAAATAAGTAATAAAGGTTTTAAATCATAGCTTTTATTATCACCAGTATTATCCTTATTATATCATAAATGTCAACAATGGATCATTAAGATATCATATTGATATGTAATGTTAGTAATGTTGACCAAACTACACTAGAAGATAAAAAGACAACAATGTTATTAGTATTAGTTGTAAATCATTAAATTGTGCAGTCTCAATTTTTCACTTCTTAGGATATACATTAGAAGAAAATAGGATAACAACCCATAAATATTTTTCATTATATTTTTTTTATTTAATTGGATCAATATTTTTACAGCTGACAGGATTTGTTTTACTCACAGGTGCATTATCTGTTTAAAAAAAAAATTGTTACACACAATGCTACTACATAGCCTTCCCGGCTTGATGTCTTCTTTTGATAATTTTTGTTACACACAGCCAAATTATGTAACAGGAAGAGGTCTTGGACACAAATTTATTCCATGCTAAATGTAGAGGAATCAGCTGAGCATTCCTCAAATAAAATAGCCTGCCTCAGCTTATAAGGTAAATAGAATAAAAATAAGCATTCCTCAAATAAGTAGCTGCCTCACCTCACTGCCTTATTGATACATAGCCTTCCCGGCTTGGTGCCTTCTTTTGATAATTATTGTTACACACACAGTGCCTTCTTTTGATAATTATTGTTACACACACAGCCAAATTGTGTAACCCCTACTTCCCCCCTTTTTTTTAACAGGCCATAATAGTCCATAAAGTCATAATTATAGGTTTAAGTATCCAATGAGAAAAGTATTTGAAGTTTTTACCCTTACCTAAGATCATTTGTGCAGCATAATTTTCTTTTATGTCTCACCCAGATTTAATTTCAAAATAAAACCAGACAAAATAAATTAAAAAGGGGAATGTATAGCTCCGGTACACCCCCCTAGCCATACTTATTACTGGGTGAACAGGGGCATTTGGTGATAGAAATGCTCCCACCAGCCCAGGTTCATCACCCTCTCATATTTCATGTTCACCAGTGTTTATTTACTTGATAACTACTGGTATAATATTGTGTGTGTTCAAAAGTGTTCAGACTATTATAAAACTAATTCTAATATCATAAAAGACATATTTACTACAAGTTTCATGCAGAGAATGCATATATAGTTAACACGAAGGACTCTATCTTGAAACTCTCCAGCTAAAATGTTTTGTTTATAAGAAAATCGATCTTCCGTGTTGTGTAGTAGAGAAAAATTAAGTTATATCCAGTTTACGTAAAGCTACGAGTGGTCGAGGCCGTCCTTAAATCGAGGCGGTGTACTTGCGAAGATTTTCCTTCTTAAATGCCTACCTGAATACCGACGTAGCCGCTACGAAGGTGCCAAGAAGAAAAACATTCGTAAGTACGTACTTAACTGCTTCGTGAACCTGGCACACTAGGGCGAGCACACAACCTCCCAACACCAATATCCTGCTATATAATGTATACCCGGGGAAGGTGGAGAACAGGTCCTGGCGCCCATGTATATACCAAGCACGTGCGGGAGCCTTAAGGGTGCCTCGCTGGCTCCTTACACACACACATGATTGGTGGCACTATGTGGCTCGCTGGCTCCGACCCCGCCTTCGTGAGGCACCTTGTGTGCCTGTGCCTCATCTTGGCATTATTCCTCCACTTCTTCCTGGAAATTCTTATTTCCTCCTGGCAGGAGTCGCTATGTTACTGAGCCTCCGCGCAGCTTCTCAACTCACGCCAAGAACGTATCTCCTGTGAGAGTCTAGGCTCTGATGATATGCCAGTAATCACTGCAGACCTTAACTTTGCTACAGCTGTTAAGGAGACTTAGCTGCCTCACCTCCCTCACCCGGTTAGCCTTGAGACTACAAACGCCAAAACTGTTGACACTGCATTACCGCCTCCGACGAAATTAACAGACGACTCTTATTATACGGAAGAAATTCGTGTGGAGAAAGATGAAGTGCAGGCCAGGCGCGCCTGGTTCCCTCACATCCCGTCTACCTCCAGCCTCGCCTCTCAGCACACCGGCCGGTTTAAAGCCACCCCTGGATGACTTTCAGACGGTGAGCTGGACTTTAGGAGGCTTTACCGATACAAAAGTTCTATTTCGAGTCCTTGAACTCGAGCTGAAAAACGAGGGACGGAAAATAAAATGAGAAATATTTGTTGGTGTGTTTATAACGTCACTAAATTGGGGCTTAAATTCAGTACAGACATCCTTTGTAGGAGGAAAGGTTGTTGATGTTATAGGTTTGGAACCTTTGGGAAGGGGACCTCTGATTACTGTATATACCTTCAGGGTGACTCTAGCAAGCTTCAAAGTTACACGAGTCAAATTGCATCTCTATAAATAAAAAATATAAACATTAAAATAGATACATCTGTTTTAAGATTGATGTATCCAAAAGGGACAGAGATGCTGTGCTCTTGCGACAGTTTTTAGACAGAATGTGCGTACATCAGGTCAGGGGGAGTATAGGAAAACCTGGTCACCATGGTCAAATTAGAGTACATTGTACAAGATTTTAAAGTTATTACATTAAACTGTGATGTTTCAGACCCCTGAATGTGTGAACATGTAAACAATCTTATAAATTTGAAAATCTCTCTCTTAAATGTGTAGAAAGTGTTTTATTTTTTCACTGCCAGCACTGAAATAATAAATAACGGAAACGTTATGCACGGAACAGCACGGAAATAAATGATCGTGTCCTTGAAGTCGCACTACTCTACTGTGATACAATAACATGCAATGTAAAGTTGTTGTAGTTGGCTTTAAAAGTGTTCGGTAGTATTTGATCGCTTGTGCGTACACGCCTTGGTTCCCCAGTAACTGTGCAGATGTGTATACAGAGATGCTACCTGAAATATCTCCATTTTCTTTTGCAAATCATGGTCCTGACTTCATGTTGGGAGGTGAGGTTGACCTATATTGATATTACAGTTTTATAAAAATAAATATAACAAAACCAAAATATTTAAATAAAGTGTAAAGTAACTCAGGATATTGTCAAATATTGTATAAAATCTCTATTGTTTAATAAAACTGAAAAAGAAATTCTTAATATGAAAATTGGTGTTTAGCAAATCTATAAGAAGAGTTTATATCTTAAAAGCAAAATATAACTTGGCATATACCACATATGTACTTATAAATCAGTCAAATAGTGACTATAAGCAATAAGTCATATATGTACTGTCTCGTGCGAGAGCAGGTTGGACTCTAACATTGTATCGAGAAGATGTATTTAAATCTGCATCTACTTGATAACAAATTTACATAATCCTGCTCTGTTGACGAATTGAATATTACCTTTAGTAACTTTGTTATGAGATAGGAGAGGAAGGTCTCACAGTGATCATTTTCTGTATGACGACGATCTAACTGGTCACATGTGGGGCATAAGGTTAGCAGTGAGGGGTGACACATTCTCCGGGTAACTTCCTCTCATAAGAACCTACAATATGCCTCACTAGTTGATGCTGAGACCGAGACCAGAAACCTCTCTACAACACATCTAAACGGAGGGAAGGTCATTGTTGCTATCCTTGATAAGTTTAAATGCCTCCATAACGAAAATAATAATAATATTTTCATTGCAACTGATATATTTGCCTGCAATATTCTTAAGTTTATTTTTAATCAGTCTTAATAACTTTTACATTGTTCATGTCAGCGCTAGTTAGGGTGAGGGAAGAGAGACCCACACTTGAAGCAAATAGATGAAGAGGTATGACTTACGTAACAAATCATCTTAGTTTTGATAATAGAACCATAGAGATCTTGTAAGAAACAGAAGGCCGACTGCATCTATCTGGACCTGGAAAATAATATGTCGCAGAGTTCCATAAAACCTGTGGACCCAATAAAACAAAAATTCAAAACTATATTTTTGTCTCTGTATGTCGTAAAATATTACACAGATATATATATATATATATATATATATATATATATATATATATATATATATATATATATATATATATATATATATATATGTCGTACCTAGTAGCCAGAACGTACTTCTCAGCCTACTATGCAAGGCCCGATTTGCCTAATAAGCCAAGTTTTCATGAATTAATTGTTTTTCGACTACCTAACCTACCTAACCTAACCTAACCTAACTTTTTCGGCTACCTAACCTAACCTAACCTTTAAAGATAGGTTAGGTTAGGTTAGGTAGGGTTGGTTAGGTTCGGTCATATATCTACGTTAATTTTAGCTCCAATAAAAAAATTGACCTCATACATAATGAAATGGGTAGCTTTATCATTTCATAAGAAAAAATTAGAGAAAATATATTAATTCAAGAAAACTTGGCTTATTAGGCAAATCGGGCCTTGCATAATAGGCTGAAAAGTGAGTTCTGGCTACTAGGTACGACATATATATATATATATATATATATATATATATATATATATATATATATATATCGTACCTAGTAGCCAGATCGCACTTCTCGGCATACTATGCAAGGCCCAGTTTGACTAATAAGCCGAGTGATTTTCTTTATTTTCAAGAAAAATATTTCAATTGGTTTATTTGAATTATTGTTATTATATTATATAAGAAACATAAATTATTGACAGTTATGCCCCCCCCCCCCCCGTCCTCAGTGCCAACCATCATTAGTTGGGATAGCCAAAAAATTTCTGCCTAAATATACACAATAACGTAAATAATGCTACTTGGATTTATTTGAAGAAAAAGTTAGCAATAAATGTCATGGTTTTCTTTAGCTTTATCTTGCCCATGTTTAGCCGCATTTGAAGTATGAATTTCTGATGTGTTGGTTGGATATCATTATAGAAATAGAATGAGATATAGAAAGAAAGAAATATACAGAAATATGTGGTATAATGACAAATGGGATATAAATACAGCTACAAAAATATCATCATAGAATATAACACGAAACAATGGATAAAAAATAGATCAATTTATATTCTTAAAAGACTGTAAATGGGATTAGGATACTAGATTTATGGAACAAATTACCGGGCAACATCATAAATGTAGGAATCGCTGGAGTGTTTCAAGCGTAGGTTAGACATGTAATTGAATGAGTTTCGGTAGATACATTTTCAAGCTGACATGTATATTAGGCCGCTTGTAGATTACCTTTAATCTTTTGCAATCCTCTTCTTGCCTCCTCTACTGTGCCTCTACTCTGTTTCTACCAGTAGAAAGTATCTACTGGTGGATACTTTCAGATCTACCTCCATTCTATTTGTGTTTTTTGTTCTGCCTCGTCCACGTTAATCAACTAATCAACTACTTCAACTCTATCTCTCATGTCTCTGTCTCTCTCTATCTCTCTCTCCCTCTCTCCCTCTCTCTTCCCTCTCTCCCTCTCTCCCTCTCTCCCTCTCTCTCTCCCTCTCTCTCCCTCTCTCTCCCTCTCTCTCCCCTCTCTCCCCTCTCTCCCCTCTCTCCCCTCTCCTTGATCTGGTCGTTCTGCTGGTGGGAGCGACCTCAGGGAAGTGTTGGTGTGTCTCACTGTCTCTCCCCCGTCCTGCAGGTGGAGGTGGAGGTGGTCGGGTCGGAGTCCCTGGGGCTCATGATCCGAGGGGGCGTGGAGTACGGCCTGGGCATCTTCATCACCGGCGTGGACGAGGACTCGGCCGCCCACAAAGCTGGGTTACAGGTATGTCGACGTCGGCTTGAAGGTAATGTTGGTTTTCTGCGCCCCTCCGCCGCCCCGTGCACACTTGTCTGGGGCGTTCAGCACACTGGTGTTGCGTGTGTGTGTGTGTGTGTGTGTGTGTGTGTGTGTGTGTGTGTGTGTGTGTGTGTGTGTGTTGTGTGTGTGTTGTGTGTGTGTTGTGTGTGTTGTTTTGTGGGTGTGTGTTGTGTGTGTGTGTGTGTGTTGTTGTGTGGTGTGTGTGGTGTGTGTGTGTGTGTTGTGTGTGTGTGTATTCACCTAATTACATGCACCTAGTTGTGCTTGCTGGGGTTGAGCTCTGCTCTTTCGGTCAACCTCTTAACTGTCAATTAACTGTTACTAACTACTAAATATTTTTTTACACACACGCACACACAGAAAGCAGCTTCGTAACTGCTGTCTAACTCCCAGGTACCTATTTACTGCTAGGTGAACAGGGGCATCCGGATGAAAGAAACTCTGTCCATTTGTTTCCACCTTCGCCGGTAATCGAACCCGGACCATTAGGACTACGATCCCCCAAAGCGCTGCGTATGTGTGTGTGCATGTGTACGTGCATGTGTACTCACCTAGTTGTGCTTGCAGGGATTGGGCTTCGGCTCTTTGGTTCCGCCTCTACACCATCAATCAACAGGTGTACAGATTCCTGAGCCTACTGGGCTCTATCATATCTACATTTGAAACTGTATATGAAATCAGCCTCCACCACATCACTTCCTGATGCATTCCATTTGTTAACTACTCTGACACTTAAAAAATATATATAATATCTCTCTCTGGCTCATTTCTGCACTTAGTTTCCAAATGTGTCCCCTAGTGTGTGTGCCCCTTGTGTTAAATAGTCTGTCTTTATCTACCCTATCAATTCCTTTGAGAATCTTGAATGTGGTGATCATGTCCCCCCTAACTCTCCTGTCTTCCAGCGGCGTGAAAGTTAATTCCCGTGTCTCTCCTCATAGCTTATGTCCCTCAGTTCGGGCACTAGTCTGGTGGCAAACCTCTGAGCCTTCTCCAATTTAGTTTTACGCATGATAAGATATGGACTCCATGCTGGAGCTGCATACTCCAGGATTGGTCTGACATACGTGGTATACAAAGTTCTGAATTATTCCTTACACAAGTTTCTAAAGGCCGTTCTTATGTTAGCCAAGCTGACATATGCCGCTGATGTTATCCTCTTCATGTGGGCTTCGGGGGACAGGTCTGGCGTGATATCAACCCCAGGTCTTTCTCTCTCTGATTCTAGAATAATTTAATCTCCCAAATGGTACCTTGTATCTGGCCTCCTGCTCCCTACATCTATCTTCATTACATTACATTTGCTTGGGTTAAACTCTAACAACCATTTGTTGGACCATTCCTTCAGTTTGTCCAGGTCTTCTTGAAGCCTCATACTGTCCTCCTGTCTTGATCCATCTCATAATTTAATTTTGGTATCAGCAAACATTGAGAGGAATGTGTGTGTGTGTGTGTGTGTGTGTGTGTGTGTGTGTGTGTGTGTGCTCACCTATTTGTACTCGCCTATTTGTGCCTGTAGGATCGAGCATTGACTCTTGGATCCCGCCTTTCTAGCCATCAGTTGTTTTCAGCAATGACTCCGGTCCTATTTTCCTATCATATCTAGTTTTAAAATTATAAATAAAGTTTGCTTCCATAACCTGCTCCTTAAGTGCATTCCATTTTTCCACTACTCTCACGCTAAAAGAAACTTCCTAACATCTCTGTGACTCATCTGAGTTTCCAGCTTCCATCCATGTACCCTCGTTCTGTTATTATTACGTGTGAACATTTCGTCTATGTCCACTCTGTCAATACCCCTGAGTATTTTATACGTTCCTATCATATTCCCCTCTCTCCCTTCTTTTTTCTAGTGTCATAAGGTTCAGTTCCTTCAGGCGCTCTTCATATAACATCCGTCGTAACTCTGGGACAAGTCTTGTTGCAAATTTCTGGACCTTTTCCAGTTTCCTTATGTGTTTCTTCAGATGGGGACTCCATGATGAGGCGGCATACTCTTAAGACTGGCCTTACGTAGGCAGTGTAAAGCGCCCTAAATGCCTCCTTACTTAGGTTTCTGAATGATGTTCTAACTTTTGCCAGTGTAGAGTACGCTGCTGTCGTTATCCTATTTATATGTGCCTCAGGAGTTAGATTAGGTGTTACGTCCACTCCCAGGTCTCTTTCTCGAATTATCACAAGTGGGCAGTTCTCCTTCATTGTGTACTGTCCCTTAAGTCTCCTATCACCTAATCCCATTTGCATAACTTTGCATTTGCTCGTGTTGAACTCAAGTAGCCATTTCTCTGACCATCTCCGCAACCTGTTCAAGTCCTCTTGGAGGATCCTACAATCCTCATCTGTCACAACTCTTCTCATTAATTTTGCGTCATCTGCGAACATCGACATGTAGGATTCTACTCCTGTAAACATGTCATTAACGTACATTAGGAATAGAATTGGTCCCAGCACCGATCCTTGAGGTACTCAACTCATTATTGTTCGCCAGTTCGCCTTCTCGCCCCTTACCGTTACTCTCTGGCTCCTTCCTGTTAGGTAGTTCCTTACCCAAGCTAGGGACTTGCCTCCTCCCTATCCCCTTTACTGAAAATCGGTATGACATTTGCCTTCTTCCATCAACTGGGCAATTCTCCCGACATGAGTGACTCATTAAAAATCCTTGCCAGAGGCACGCTGAGGGCCTGCATTGTCTCTCTTTAGTATCCACGGTGATACTTTGTCTGGTCCAACTGCTTTAGTTACATCCAGTGTTGTCAGCTGTTTCACTACCTCCTCTGCTGTCACCTCTATATCTGATAGGCTTTCTTCTAGGGTAATCTCTTCTAACAATGGGAGCTGCTCAGACTCCGTTTGAACTCTCCATGGAAACTGGCATTTAGTGCCTCACAGATTTCCTTGTTAGTTTCTGTGTATTCTGTGTTTTCCTTAGTCTTGTCACTTGATCCTTCACCGACATTTTTCTTCTTATATGGCTGTGTAGTAATTTAGGTTACTTTTTCGCTTTGATCGCAATATCGTTCTCATAATTTCTTTCCGATACTCTTCGTATGTTAATGTAATCGTTCCTAGCTCTGTTGCATCTGATCCTGTTGTCCTCTGTCCTTTGTCTTCTGTACTTCCTCCACTCCCGCCTGCTGGCCATTTTTGCTTCCTGACACTGTCTATTAAACCATGGGTTATTATATTCCTTCTTATTTTTTCCCTTTACTGTTGGTATAAATCTCTCTTCGGCCTCCTTGCATTTCCATATGATTAAGCCCATCATATCTTGGACTGTCTAATTTATTCCTGTGTTTGTGTGCGTGCGTGCACGCCCTCCCTGGATCCTGCCGACGGTCTTCTAATACAGTGACTCCCGACCGACAAGTATCCTGGCATATCTACCTCTACAGTCATGGATACTGTGGTCTTCTACCTTCCCATTCTACTTCAATATGTTTTCCTACTTCTCTTACTCAATGTCATGCCTTCCAGTCATGCCTCCTCGCGTTCTTGATATTCCATTCCTGTCATATTCTCTGCAACATACACTCATTTTCCTTCATGCCAAATACCCTAATTTTGTTCTTTACTATCTGTATCATGTTGCTCTGACGTTGTCTCCTGTCCAGAATTACTACTACGTCTCTCTCTTGTTCTGTTTTGTTCAGTTCGCTGCCTCATTTGGGCTGGACGGTAGAGCGACGGTCTCGCTTCATGCAGGTCGGCGTTTAATCCCCGACCGTCCAAGGGGTTGGACACCATTCCTTTTCCCCCGTCCCATCACCAAATCCTTATCCTAACCCCCTTTCCATTGCTATATGGTCGTAATAGATTGCCGCTTTCTCTCTTGAGAGAGTTCCCTTTCCGTCCTCCAAAATGTAATGTCGTCATATCCTATGTAATTTTGGGATGGACCTTGTTTGCAAACTTTTGTAACTTTTCATGACTCTTTTTGAGATAGGTAGGGGGGTGGGGGGGACTACTATAGGCCCGCGATGCGTACTCGAGCTCTGGTCTCACGTAGGTGGTATTCAGTGTTCTGAATACCATCCTTGAGTTTTTAAAACAGTTCTGATGCTCGTCTGTTTTGTTTATGTTGATGCCGTTTTAGTATTTAGTGTTGGAATAAATCTGTCTTCAGTTTCTGAGCATTTGTAAGGCGCAGAGTTCATTGGCACGCGTGATTTCTGTATTTTTTTCATTCATACTTCCCTCTTCTGTAGGCTTATCTTGAGGTTATCTTGAGATGATTTCGGGGTTTAGTGTCCCCGCGGCCCGGTCCTCGACCAGGCCTCCACCCCCAGGAAGCAGCCCGTGACAGCTGACTAACACCCAGGTACCTATTTTACTGCTAGGTAACAGGGGCATAGGGTGAAAGAAACTCTGCCCATTGTTTTTCGCCGGCGCCAGGGATCGAACCCGGGACTACAGGGTCACAAGTACAGTGTGCTGTCCGCTCGGCCGACCGGCTCCCAGTCTTATCTTCTATTCTCTGCCCACTTGGTTTGGTTTTAGTTCGAACAATGTATTCGAACACCAGAACACGATGGCCCCTGGAATGGGGATATTGTGTAGTCTTTTTTCACACAAAGTTTGGCTCATTCTTGAGTTAAATCGGGATCTAATCTGATTGGTCTGTTCCCCCTTCTTTTACCCACCTTTTCCCCTTGGACTTGTTATGTTAGGTTGTTCACTGCTGCAACATCTGTGCTATTTCAACAGGGGTCCACTGCATCGATTTCTTGCAAAGTAATCCATGTTTCTTATGTTGAAATCTCCCAGGAATAGAGATTTTTCTTTCATTCCGTGAGCAGTTATTGCTGCGGTTTCAACGATGTGTATGTTGTTCTCTGTTGCATCGTATGCAAACGCTGCCAGCAGGGTCCCATCTATCATATTTGCAAGTGCATAAAGAATGAGAAGAGGCGGGACAGAAGATAGTTACAAATCTTCATGACATTCTTCATGGTTGGTCAGAGAAA